TCTGCAGCCTCTCAGTAGCACCAACCGATACCCACTGCAAACACCTTATGTGCTGCCTGGCTGTGGGGTTGAGTACATTGCATGTACATCCAGGTGAGGACAATAATAAACACCCTCTTTTAGCTAGGTAACACAGCCTATTATACAGGTTCACTCCGATCTCAAGCTAGTAAAATCAAAAAAGGTCTGTGCCACAGAGCACGTTACAAGTTCCCTTACTTTTTGGGCTATCTGGACTTCTTGTCGCAGCTCTTCCTTTTCCCTTTGGAGTCTTTAGTCCTTCAGCAAGATACTGGTGGCCACTTTCTCCTAGTTCCAGCCTTCGTTTTGCCTGTTAAAAAAAAAAAAAGGTTTGATTTTGGTTTGTTTGTTTTGAGTTTTTTTGGTTGGGGGGGTGTTGGTTTGTTTGTGGTTTTTTGGGGGGTTTGGGGGTTTTTGTTGTTTTGGGGGGGTTTTTTGTTTGTTTGTTAATGGATTATGAAATGCATTACACTTTATCAAACCCGTTATTGGGATTAGAGGAAAGGCAGCCAGCAGTGAAATTTTCACAGCAAGTTTCTGTATCCGTACAGGTTCATACCCCATATTCATCACACCACAAGGGAATCTGAATCTTTATGGGAATTCAAAGAAGGACTTTAGTGTTTCACTCTCAAAGCCTAGATGGATAGTTTTGTTTGGAAAACTGACCAAATTTTTTAATTTGGAAAGTTAAGTGACACTTTTATGACCTGCTTCAGACTAGTCTGGACCTTTCAAAATATATATGATTGATTTCTACCTCCACTTGTGTTGAGAATGTTTCTGTTAAGAAAAGCAAAGATATGCTTAGCACACAGGTATGCATCCACAAAGCTACAATTCTTCTGAAAAACTCCTTATATCCATATAAGTCCGTGCACAAGTAGTATTACTGCAAGGTACATTTTTCCTTCCCCATTTCAAAAGATGGCTTCGAGAGAACCAATAACTTCCACTGCTACAAGCTTTCCATCAATGACATCTAGAGCAGCATTGGACAGCTGCTCCCTGCTTCTCAACAATTGTTGTCCCAACTGAAAGCACAACCACTACATTTGTTTCACATTAACTTGCACATTTGCATTAAAACTGCCTACATAAAAGCAAGGTGGAGCAAAAGTAATAACAAAAGGATAATGCCTGAAAATCAGCTAAATGTTATATTCAGCTCAAAGGCAAACTGTGTAGTCTTGAATAACAAAAGTAATAAAACTGTTACAGCTATGCAACACAGACAAACTGCAATTAAAACCACCACAAATATGAATTTTGTTCCTAGACAGAAACACAATCTACTATCTTTGGAAACAATTCTATACCCTGCCATGCTACTCAGGTTACTGAAATTAAATCTGGGGATACTTGTTATCCTAACAATAGAAAGAACATTACCTGGGAAGACACAGGAAAAAAGAAGAAAAAATTTTTTACATCTAATGAAGTATAACCAAATAACTGTTCCCAAAGAATGTTGTTTATTCAATTAGCTAGTCTAAGTCAGGGTGTTTTATTTGCTTGCTCTTTAGACTTGCCCCAAAGGGTTGAATTATATTCTGCTCCTCAGTGAACAAAGATAAAATAATACATTCTGCTATGGAGTTGCAGACAGATGTTTCTGTATTTTGGATTTAGCTTATGCATTTTACTTTGGGTTTATGACCAACAGAAGGCTCTAAATAAATTAATTTTTATGCATTTAGTTATGGATAGGTAACATCTTTGCACTGGATTCTGCAAACCACAAACTTATTAAAAGGTGAGTTAAAGCATATAAACTCATAGAAGCCCACAGTGTAACAGTGTTACAGGGTGCTTAAGTCACTCTTCCTCCACATTTTGTGTGACGGGGCAAGGCACTAATTCATCAGTAACAGAGCAAAACTGAACTGACTACGTTCTTCTAACCAACACAGGCACCAGGCTGATGGCAGCCTATGGGTAGCAGCTTCTAACTGTGTGAAACATCTCTGTACCTCTCCGTCAGCTCTGTAACCCAAGGACACAGATTTTAAAAAGGTCAACTGATAACAAAAGCATCCAGCTAATATGTTCAGCCAATATAATTGGATTAAATTAAGTTTACAGCTATTCCAGAGGGAGAAATACATTTCACACTTTTTTAAACAGTGTTTTTCCACCCTGAGAACTATAGGAGAAAAGGAAGGAGGGGTGAATAGGGAACAATTCACAGCGTGGGAAGACTAGGCCAAAGGCATACAATTAAAGATAAAAGAGAATCTCAACCAGGTGTGAGAAGGAGGGGAAATGCTGAAGACTTAAAATCCAGAGATTTGCAGTGGCTCTCTCCATCAGAACAGAAACTCCACTTTGGACTACACACCAAAACTTTTTGTCTCAACTTGTTTGCAAGACATGAACAAGAGTATTTTGCCACTACTGTCATGGTTAAACATAACTTTCTCCTGTGAACTTCAAATAATCACCTTCAGTAGTGAGAAAACAAACAGTGTCCTTTGACTGTGTGCAGCAGTACAAGACCATCCATTTGTGCTGGGGGTGTTAGAAACAACATGCTCTTATTGATCTCAACAGTGTATTGTACCCACTGGCAGCGCAGGACTATTGACTGCCTTCTGGAAAAACACCAAAACAGCAAGAGATAGCGCTACAAGAAGGTTATTTTATAGAGCATAAAGCACACATAAAACCTGAGAGAGAGAGATACAGAGCAAAATATTTCAAAGTGTTTAAAAAGCTTGGTGAAATTACTCGGAGGCAATTTTAGCCGACCCTGGGGAATGCTTAGTTTCTGGCCAGATGTTACACGTCACTCAGCAAGTGCTTTCTTCCCCTTCCTATTTTACAAGCTTCATAACTGATAAGGTGCAGGACTGAAGTGTTATATATAGTGTCAATTTCTTCTTCCTTGTCTTACAGACCAAAAATTTTCTAGTGCCTTTTTCTTTGCACTACAGATCCTGGATGACTCACAGTTTCTCTCCCCAAAATTATTCAGTGATTTCTGATATCAGACTTCCCTTAAGAAATCTCAACATCTCCATTCAGCAATCAGCACAATTGGTAACACCTTTTTAAAAAACAAACAAAAGCCCACATTTGATTTTGTCGTGGTTTAACTCTGG